AATAATGGAAATCTAGGTTGATTTTTATCAGACTTGGAGGTTTGGAAAGAGATCCAAAGACACAAAACCAAATAGAGCTAGAATTATTTGCATCCTTGAAGACACATATAAAATGAGGAAATGTGGGGAAGAAATGTGAGTTAGTAAAAAATACTGTGGGTGGAGGCTGGTGGGGTTGGATGGGAGAAAAGTAATTTTGGCAGCCAGAATTTTTAATGAAACAAGTTGTTGTACTGAGTAAGAGGCTGCATCAGGAGTAGAGTGTGATGTTGCGGATGAGAGACTAGATAGACAAGAAAAAAAAAAGTCCAGTCAATGGAATTAAATGAGAAGGACGTGCTATTGAAACTCCACCCAACTGTCACAATTGAGTGACAGCAAAAATAATATTGATATGTTGAGCAGTGAGAGAAGGATGAGGATTGGCCATGTTAATATTTGTAGCTTTTGCTAAAAGGCAGAAATTTTGGAAAACTAAAGCATTTGGGGGGAACGTGTTTTGTTCCTTGAAAGAAATACCACACCGCTAGAGCTGCAGTGATATCCTGATCCACAAGGAACTTCAGCACAATGCTGGAAGAGAATAATTAGTTCTCAGAAAGCTGCCAAGGACTGAACTCAAACTTACAGTGCATGGGCACTGATCTGATTCAGTAGCTGTTGCCTGTTGTCTTCAGCCATCAATTTATTCTTATGCCAGCCTGCTTCTACATGCTTGATTAAAAAGTCATATGTGCATGTGTATCAAGTCTGGGGTTTGTTTCATCAGTATGGTTAGATACATGTTGCAGATGTCTATTTACCCCAAATAAATCGATAATTTGGAGCATATATTGTAAACTATGGGGGGATTCACAGATATTTCAGCTTCCAAATCTTTAAAAGAACTCTAAAATGTCGATCTCATTAATTACCTCAAAGAATAATTGCTATCTTTGTTCTCTCACCAAATGAAGAACAACTCATTTTATGATTATGCATGTAAATTTTAGCATTCTGAAATAGAAAACCAGGTTTTAACTTGAATAGTTGTGTTATAAAGGTTCCTTGTCCCAAACATCAGGTTGTTTTCCTTTGAAATTTTAGAAAGTTTATGTTGATCCCCACACTTCTCGAACTGAAGGAGGTTATCTTGGGAGACCACTGACAGCAAGCCTTTTTCCTGACTTATGTCAGAAGCCCAGACCTGTCGTAGAAAGGACATGAAGCTTCCAGTTACAAAACTAGGAAAAAGCCTTCTGAATGGTAATAAGCCAAGTGAGGCTCTACAGTAGATTGCCTGGGATGGTTAAGGAATTTCCAGATTTGGATGCCTCTGAGAGCAAGCTGGCAAAAGATCAACTGTGTAATTGTAGTTGATCTTGACTTAGTACTTGGGGAAGGAATAGATGGACTTTGGCACATTATTGCTCTTAAAGAATGCTTGTGCTTCCTAAGTCTGCTGTCTCTGCTACCCTTTCCACACCTTTGAAGATCTGTAGGGAAGGGGGAATATGGAGAAAGATGGGCTTCTTTTTTATATAGACCTCAGGAATGCAGTGTAACCAGAAGGCGTACTTGCTGTCTGAAAAATCAGTTGCTCGTGCTGTTCTCTGACTTGGCTTGTAGACTTACCAATATGCCAAGAATAGGTCATCAGTGTAGAAATCAAAGTACTGCTGCTAAAACAATATTATCAATTGCTCAGATTGTATGTTAAGCTTTTTTTTTTAAGTTCTGCATCCTTGATTTTAGTGACTGAAAACTTGTAAAATAGGAGAGACTTCCCTTGTTCATGAAGCTTTTAGCGGTGTCTTTTTATATTGCTGCTGCTGTTAGGCCTATGCTCATTTGTGTTGGAATGTAGCCGTTGAGAGAGATCATCAGTGTAATGAATACACTAATGGCATTTTCAGTATCTTCAAATTCAGGTGAAGAAGTTTTTGAAAGAGAACAAAGTTTGAATGTTTCATATATAAAGTTCTGATTAAGTTCCAGAAGTGCTTGGAGAAAAGGCGTCATGAGAACTCCTGGGGCAGAATCAGCAGTGCTTTCCTGGTCTATGCTCAGCTGGCTTTCAGACCTGTATATGGAACAGATGTGTTAGTGATTAACAGTATACCTCAAGGGCAAGACCTGAAACTAAGGAGAGAGATCTGACTTAGTGATGCAACTGCAGGAAATGCCACACATGTCCGTCTAAGGCTGAGAGACAAGAAAGACCTGTTCTGAAGATGAGCAGAGAACCTATCTTGAAAAATAAGGAAAAGGGGAAGCAACCCCACCCCCCAGAAACCACCCCAAAACCCCAACCAAATCCCAACAAAGACCAAACCTCCCCCCTCCATGTTCAAAGCGCTTTTCACTCCATTTGAAGTGCTTTTGGGACTTCTTACAAGCAATGTGTTCCAACATGCTCTAAACTGCACTGTGCAATGATGTGATAAGATTTGATCTTTATTAGATTAAAATGCACAATTACTCACTGGTTTTAAGATTATTTTTTTTCCTCATAATCTAAATAAGACTATACCGTTGTGCGCTATGTCATTACAAATTTTAGGAAACATTCTTCTATATAATACTTGGGTCTTTTACTTCCTGATTTTACATGTTGGAATTCTTCACAGAATTCTTTGATATTACTGAATTATTTTTGTTCTGTGGTTGTGGTAACAGATTTCAGAGTTTTCTGCTGTCTATATTTAATGAAAGTTTTTTAGTTTTAATTGTGAAGGCTGTAATTATTTTGTGATACAAAAAATGTAAAATGCGGGATCTTGTAAAAAGCAAATGCTTATACTCATCAGAATCACTTTTTTCTTATTGGATCTCTTTGTTAAGTAGTCAGTATGTTACGGGTAAAAGTAAAGTATACTATTTTTTTAAAGATGGAAATGTAAAATAGGAGCTTCGGTTTGCTTGCTTACTACTTTTACCTGGTTTGGAACCTGCATGGATTCTCCTCCTTCTCTGCCCCGCGCCCCCCCCCAAGAATACAGAGCCATTTCAGAGCTGTTGTTGGAGCAAAGCGGGTCCTGTCCACCAGTTCCCTGCAGTGAGGTTGCAGGCCAGTCTCTAGGCAGGCGAGTGTCTTAGTTTCCAGATCCATGAAGTGAGACTGATAATAACCAGAATAAACACATTTCTAAAGCGCAGTCATGAATATTTTCAAGTGCTCTTAAATTATTTAATGTAAAGTGCTGAAGCAGGCTGGAATTATTTTTCTGAGGTCCACTGAAATGAGAAAATTTACTAATGAAACATGAAACTTGCTCAGTTATCAGTGGCAGAAATGGGGATCAAGGTTGTTCAAGTACAGAGACTTCGTCATTCTTTCCATTTTTGTACATGTATATATAAAAGGTAACTGAGGAGAGGTCTTGTCTGTAATTCATGAAGTGTGAGACTGACTGCTTCACAGCCTTCTCTTCATGAGCACTTTCCTCATCATTACTTGATACTCTAATAAAGGCAATATTAGAAGAGCTATGGGCTTCAGCACAGTGGGTCCTCCCCCATGAATGAGCACCATAAGGACTACCAAAATAAAAATAGCAGTGAAGAGAGATGGGCATTTTATATCTATATTAGGTAGTGTATCAACACGATAAACTGTACCATTCTGACAGCCAGAAATGGCAGGGTCACAGAGATTGGTTTGCTGACTGTGCAGCGACAGCTCTGTTCTGCACTCTTTCAGCTTCATCAAAGCAGCTGCAATTGCCCAGTTTGGCAAACCTTCTCCCAGTTTACCACCTTGTTTCCTGATAAGAACCAAATAAAAATAGTTAAAGGAGAGAAAGATTCAGATTATTTATTTCCAGTTAATATAGATCCTAAGTATGATGAGGAGAAGCTTTCTGTAATAAAGGGAGAAAGTGATAAATGAATCAATATCGCTATAGATTCACTATTTGAAAGAAAACCAAACAGGCAAACCAGTTTGAGGCTGGCTTTCTCCTTGTTTGACTAAGTTTAGAAGGCAGAAAAGCCAAGTGGTGCACAACTGAGGATGATCCTTTTTTTTCTTTTGCAGTAAGAATGGAGCTTTTCTACCATCTTATTGTAAGGAAAGTTTTATAGGAAAGGACAAACAGAATTTTGAGATTGACACTGATGAGATGGTTCCTTGTCATATGAAATGAGGTAGAAAGTAGAGCAGAGTGGTGATGGAGACAGAATGGTCTTGTATGAGAATAAGGGCTAGAAGTTTTTGCTTAAACTCAGGATCTTACATACAGAATTATGTTCCTGTTTTTGTAGGAGGGCACAGTGAAATTTAAATAACTGTGCAGAAGATCTCTTGGATATCTTGCACATGCACGTGCATGCACACACAAAATAAAAGTGGGTTTTTAATCAGCTGGGAATATGTACTGAACTTTCGTGCATCTAACCCACATTTAGACGGTAATGTGTCTTTATAGAACTACTCATCCTTGCAAATGATTATCCAGATGACCTGTTAGTTACAGTTATGAAAATCCAAGTTTATGGCAACAAGTTAATAGGTGGCCGTACATAGGAACTGCTATTTGGGTTGTGCCTTTTCCCTCCTGCATGCTGTCCCAAAAATGATCTGATTCTTACCCACTTGAACTTATTGGAAAGTAAATTCCTTAAAGAGCGCAAGCAACAGGTTGTGGCTGTTTAAGGGCTAAGACATTTGCAAAGAGTTGCTTGAAAGAAGGCAGCATGTATAAGAAGGCAGCTACTGAGGTGAGAGTGAAAAAGTGAACTGAAGAGGGAGAATTAGGGATTGACACTGAGGGAAATTTACCCCTAAGCTCTGCACCCTCCCTTGAATATGTGAAAGGAAAGGAATACACAAAGGCACAAAGGTGCATATGATTTCAAAGGAGAAACTTCTAGGTTTTTCTCTTGTAGTCCCTGTGCAATACAAATCCCTGTGTTTCTTGATCAGAGAGAGTTAAAGGTTTGCTTTTGTTTGTTTTTGGATAACTTGAGTCATGTTTTGAAAATACAGTAAATTAACCATCTTTTTGTTTTATTACTAGAGTATCTTCAACCAGTTTCAATGTAGCAGTGAGAAGGTACTGCCTTCTGATGCCCTGCGCACTGCTCTCGCAAAGACATTTCAGGATGAGCAACGCTTTCAGCTGGGCATCATGGATGATGCTGCTGAATGTTTTGTGAGTATAGCTGAAAGATTGTTTGACAGGTATAGATGCCAAACCTCACTACACAAAGTTGGGTTTTTTTATCCCCTCCGGCCCCCTCCTCTCCCCAAATTCCATCAGATGTTGCATATGTGGCCTGGAAAAGTCCACAGAGGGATCCCAAGCTTGAAGTGATCCAATGGGGAACCAGTATTTGGTTTGAGAGTCATCCCTAATGATTTTGAAATGGAAACATCAGTGTTATCCATTTTTACAGTTACTTTTGCATATGTGCTGCTTACACTCTCAAGAATGTCTTGCATATGATTTGTAGAAAAAAATTGTACTGCAAGAATGATCCAGGATTCTAGTTTTAAGGATCACCTCAAAAGGGTGAAAGGACATTTTGTTTGCCAGTTATTCTGAAATTGTGTTTTCACAAACTTTAGCTAAGGAAAAGTAAAAATAAATAAATAAACCAAATGTAACCCAACACAGTGTTTATGTTTGTAATTTGAAGTAAGCAACAGTAAAATGAATCATCTGCAGGTATTTCTGTTGCCATATTTGTAAACCATCTGACAATTTTTTTAGGCTGGTTATCTCACCAGTGTGGTTGGGAGATGGCTTTTACACAAATCTTACATCCCTAGGTTTACCCACCTGCTTTCCTTTTATAATCAAACTCTTTCTTGGCATCCATTATATTAAGATTTTATTTTTAGTCACATTTCCTCCTTTTCCCTCTTCAATCTCCTAAATTTCTTTAACTTAACTAGGAGGTATTTTTGTCTTGCTGAACTTTTGGCTGCTCCGCTTTTTGGAAATGATGGTGTCAATAGGGTGGCCCAGGTGTGTTTGTATCCAACTTGGTTGTTAGCAAAAGATGTTAATTCTTAATTAAAGTACAAACATACTGGATTTACTACTGCACAGTAAAGCACTTATCAGAGTGGAGTCCTTTCTATATGTTAAATCTTTCATCTCCTATACCTACCTAATTTGACACTTGCACTGTAAGAGATTACAGAAATGGGATAAATGTGTATAGCTATTGTAGTTCTTCTCTTAAACTAAATGGACTGATAATGGGCTTATGATAACCCAGTGTATCTTGTATTTGTAGAATTAGTATTATATATATATAGCAAAATAGTATAGTTTAATGAGCTCTCTTAAAATGGAAGTAGATCATACCAATAAAACGTCAAAATGAAATAAATTACATCAGCCTACACCGGAGCCCCTGTGAGCACAGTTACATCAAATCATTGTATGCAGTCCAGCACTTCACAGAATCATAGAATATCAGGTTGGAAGGGACCTTAAGGATCATCTGGTCCAACCTTTCTTGGCAAAAGCGTGGTCTAGACAAGATGGCCCAGCACCCTGTCCAGCTGAATCTTAGAAGTGTCAAATGTTGGGAGAATCCACCACTTCCTTGGGGATATTATTCCAATGACTGATTGTTCTCTTTGGGAAAAATTTTCCACTTGTGTCCAGTCAGAATCTCCCCAGGAGTGACTTGTACCCGTTATCCCTCATCTTTTCACCTGTGACTGCTTGTAAAAAGGGAGTCTCCATCTTCTTTGTAGCCACCCTTTAAATACTGGAACATGGTGATAAAGTCTCCCCTAAGGCTTCTTTTCTCAAGGCTGAACAAACCCAGTTCTCCCAACCTTTCCTCATACAGGAAGCTTCCCCATCCAACTTTATGGCACTTCTCTGAACCTCCTCCAGCCCATCCACACTTGAACAGAGTTCTGTATGTACTAAACATGCGAATTTTTTATTTAGTTTCTTCCTTGAGAAAGCTAATCTAAATAGCCAGTCTAACACTGCTGTGGGAGTCCCCACAAGCAGGTTTGTTAGGTTAACCATACTGGCACAATGACAGTTGAAAAAGGATACAAGTTCCCTTTTGAGGTTAAGCTTTAAGGCAGAGATAATTCCATAGTTTTTCACTTAGTTAACCTTTTCAGCCCTAAAGGCAGAGATTTAATTTAAATGGCAGAAGAGGGAAATTGTATGAGGTCAGAGCTATTTTGCCTAATAATTAATCTTGACCTCCTTATTGCAGGCCTATAAACCATCCGGGCAGCTCATAGCAATAGTGAAAAGTGTGCTGCTGGAGGAGGTGTGAGTAGAATTTTGGTACCCCCAAATCAATGTTGACAACAGTGGGAGGAGAGGAGGTCTTAGGACAAAAACTCTTTGGAACTTGAAAACAGATGGAGTTGTCTGAAATAATGTCTAGAAAATGTTCAGTGCTTTTGTTTCATGCAGAATTTAGTCTACCTCTTCATTTATTATTCTTTCCCTTTTTGATAAAGTGTAGATTATTTGCCATATTTCAGAGCCCTTATGGAATATAGAAATTGATTCGAGTTACTTTGTGTTGATGAGAAGAACTTAGTGGCGATCCAGTGATTCTAAAACTGCAGAGCTGCTCTGCCTGTTACATTTGGTCAAATCCATTGACGCTTGAGAGTTGGACAGAATAATTGGTGACAGAGTCTTCAACTATACTAGTAAATAAAATAAGTGGTTACCTGACATAGCATTTCAAATCAGAAGTGGTAGCCATTTTCTTTTATATCAAATAAATGCCAACTTCTTTGTTTTCTAACCAACTTCCAAAAATTTGCAGGAGCCTTCTGTCTGTGTAAATAACACTTATAACATTATTGCATCTGACATGCTTTTGTGCTTTATATTTTAACTTTTGTCTACATTTGAAATGATCTAATCCTGGTTTTGCTTTTCATTCTTTCTTTGGCTAGGAAAACCTTTTAATGCGAATTCACTTCCACATTGCAGATGAGACAAAGGAAGATATTTGCACTGCACCACATTGTGTTTCCCATCAGAAGTTTGCAATGACCTTGTTTGAACAGGTGAGGTAATGATACATGCTTTATACAAATCACCAGTTCTCAAGTTTCAGATTTTCATTCCTAAGACACGCATTGCCATGGTAAAAAAGATACAAGCAGAAGTGTTGCTGTGGAAATACCTGTTTAATTTTGTCAACGTATTACATTTTCTTTCTCTTTAGTGTGTTTGTACCAGCTGTGGTGCCACCTCTGACCCATTACCTTTCATCCAGATGGTACATTATATTTCCACAACCTCACTCTGGTGAGTTGAGATTTTTAGAGGGAAGAGAACTTCTCTTTTTGTGTGTGTACTGATATTGCAGCTTGATCTTTACCTTCACAAGATTAAATGTCCAGAACATGATTTGTTCAATTTGATAACTATGATAAAGAACATGAGGATTTAGTGAGCAAGAAGATACCAGTTTAGGCATGGATCAGTGTGTCTACTTGTTTATGATTCTGAATCTGACAACTGTAGTGGCAAGGACTCCTGTACATTTTGAAGACCTTAATATGTGAGCAGGTGAATTAAATAGAAAGATAAGAAAAATAAAAAAGTTTATGCTGGAAAGGACCTTTGGACATCTACTCCATCCTCCTGTTCAAAGCAGGGCTAACTTCAAAGCTAGATCAGGCTGCTTGGGGTTTTGTGCAGCTGAGTTTTGAAAACGTTCAAGGATAGAAATTCCTGACTTCTCTGGACTGCCTGTTCCAGTGCTTAATGACTCAAGTGTGAAACTTTTTTTTACCTTATATCCAGTCAGAATTTCCCTTTCTGCATCTTTTGTCTCTTGTCCTTTCTTTGTTCACCTCGTCAAACAATCTGGCTTATGTTCAGCTTGTCTACCAGTTTTCTGTGATGTTACTCCTCAGCCGTTCAGTGCCCAGCCAGTACTGCTGCACTGTGTGCGCTCTGTCCAAGGTGCAAGACTTTGTACTTTCCTTTACTGAATTTCATGAGGTTCCTGTCAGCTTGTTCCTCCAACCCGTCAAGATCTTTCTGTGCGATAGCACTCCCTTTCTGTATATTGACTCCTCTGTCCAGCTTGGTGTCATCCGTAACCTTGATGTGGGTGTATTCTGATTCATCATCCAGGTTGTTAATGAAAATGTTAAATAGCATCAGCCCCAGTATTAACCCCTGAGGAACACAACTCTCAACTGACTGCTGGTTATGTTTTGATCTTCTGAGCCTGAAGATCCAGCTAGGTTTTTGTCCGCATTGTTTTCTACCTGTGCAGTCTACGCCTCCCAGTTTGGCGACAAGAATGCTGTAGATGACTTGGAAACCTTGCTAGAGACCAAATGATGTTAACTGCTCTCGCCTCCTCAACAGAACCCATAGTTTTATAATGGGAGATAAACAAGTAGGTCAGGTGTAGTTTGCCCTTGGTAAATCCATCTGGCTGCTCTGACTCACCTTCTCGTCCTTCATATACATGGAGATGATTTCCAATGGGATTTGGTCTGTCATCGTCCCGGGTACTGGAGCAAGACTAACCAGCCTGTAGCTCCTCAAATCCTGTTTCTTGGATGGATATATAGCTCTTGCTTTTTCTAGTTATTGGGCAGCTCCCTTGGTCACCATGACCTTTCATTAAAGGAGATGGTGCACAGAGCAACAGTTCTAGCTCTGTAGTAGTTCGTTGGAATTACTGCTAGGGGAGAGAAGTCTTCTGTTCTTTTAGTAGATGACTGCCCAGTTAAAAACTGCTTAAATCTGGTATTTGCTTCTGTCTTGAAATTTTGATTGGGATGAAAACTTCTCTTTGTTTCTTGTCCTGCATTTGAGACATAGAGTTACAGAGCCCGAAAACATTGTCTTGAAAACTGCTAGTTGCTCTTCTCATGCAGATCTCTGTTAAGAGCCTCCACTTTACCACTCTATCAGGAGTATTGTAAAGCAATCCCCCTTGTGGCTGCTACCTGCCGTTCCATCGAGTTGTAGTTTTTCTTTAGGTTAGCAGGAGACACTGTGTATTGGAATAATATTTGCTAGAAAAACAGGAAAATAATTGTGTAAATGGTATTCAATATTTTAAATTAAATATTTCAATAAATCTTAAGTCATGCATTATTTTAAAAACCACCCATAAACAGTGATATATTTCTTTCTTTCTTAAACCATTTTAAACTTGAACATGCTTTGAGCACTAGTATTCTTGTGTAACTTATTGTCATCTGTCTTTCAACTTGGAGAGTGAAGTCAATTGGGTACCATGCTATTTTTTGTCTATAGATTTATTATTAAGGATGTGCTTTACTGTGGTGCTTTACTAGGTTTGTGGTTACTGAAGGGAACTATTTCGAAGCAAATATTTAATTTTGAAATCAAGTATTTATCAAAATGCTAAAGCTTGCTTTTAAGATGTAAATTTTAAGCCAAACTAAAAACTGTTTCTATTTTAAGTTTTACTTGTTTTCTTTATGCAGTATTATCATGGAAGGTGTAGTAATTCACACTTAATAATTATGTGATTTTTCTATACTACAATATTAAATATAAAAAGTGTTGTGTATTTTAAGGTTCTTAACTTTTCATAAATTAAGTGAAACATACTTATGTAGTATGGGTTTGTGTTTTTATTTTATTATTAAACTTTTGTTTTCCATGCTTTCTCTATACTGAAGCAATCAAGCTATTTGTATGCTGGAGAGACGAGAGAAACCCACTCCAGATATGTTTGGAGAGCTACTACAGAATGCCAGCACTATGGGAGACCTGCGAAACTGTCCAGTTAGTATCCTTAGTTTTCCTTTTGCGGGAGGACGGACAGGACAGAAGAGGCTTAGTAGATTACACTGATGTGTACCTTTCATGAGCAGTTTCAAGGTTTAGCTCATCATATGATAAAAAAGGTAGTAAGAGAGTTTTCTTTGGGTTTAAATTCAGTGCTTTTCAGTTATTCAACAAAGGAAGGGAAAAACTACTGTTGTTGAGTGCTTCTTTGACTAGACACAAGTAGTTAGAACAGGAATAGACATTGTTTGGATGGAAACTGAAAATGAATGTTTCAGAGAGTTAGAAACCACGAAAAAAGGTGATGAGGGGAATAAATTGGAAATGCTTACATTGCTCCCAGGGAATGGCCACACAATCCATTCCTGTTCAAGTCTGTGCTGGTGCTAGAAGTACCTATCATACATTTGCTGTTCAACTTCACTCAGAGTTGGTGAGGCCTGCAACACTAGCATTACATGAAGCTGCAATCGTGCTGCTTTCTTCCTATGATGAAAGTTCTGGGATCTTACCTAAAGAAACAGAAATTACAAAGAATTTGGAGGCTATGTCTTTTTATAGCAGATTTCTGTATGTTGACAATGGTTTTGATTAGCTACGCTTTTTAAGAACAGTGTTTCCACAGTTCATCCAGTTTCTCTGGTGATTATTTCTGTTGAGGATAGTGTGCTTTGTCTATAATAATAGCAGAAGAAAAGAAGTCCTTTTTTCTTGTAAAATCTCTTCAGCAGTACCATACTAAGGCACAGATAGCAGTCACTGTAATCATGTGTAAGACATCAGTTGTGTTGCCTAGGTAAACTTCCATTCAACTTCATTACTACCTTTCAGTTGGAATAAATTGAACTGTTTACCAAACTGCAGTACCTGCAGCGTACAGCCAAAATGTTGGTTGGAGAGAAAGAGAAAAGGGCTGCTGCTTCCAACTGCTGGAGAATATCCTGACAGTGAAGGGCTTATAGGCTACACAGTATATCTGCAAGAGCTAACCTAAAGGCAGGAATCATCACAGAAAATTTGAGGGAGTATTGTTGTTTTTTTTTTTTTGAGTGACATTTGCTGTTCAGACTGTGGAGAGGTACTGATCAGAAAGTGTAGACTATAGCCATTGTGAGTGATCTCTGGTGTTTAACCACTTAAAAACAATTACTGCATATGTCCAGTTGATAGTCACAGGCTGCTATTTTTTAAAAATGTTCCATTCTGCTATGCAGTAGGAGTCTGACAAAATTCAGCAGAATTAAGTCCATGTATCAGTTGGATTAAGAAAAATAAAAATCTGTTTTTTGAATTTGTCATTTTTGTCTCATTGATAATTGGGACTGAAATTCTAGATAATTTTCCAAATTGCTGTGGGGAAGAAATGCTTTATGATCTCTTCACTGATTGTAGTGTCAGAAATTATTATATCCAGTTATGAAACTGGTCTCTGTAGAGATCAGAAACCATTCTCAGTATGAAAATGTGGTTTGTTTTTTTTTTTCCTGGAGTCTTGCAGAGATATCTTTGTGGCCTGTGACAGGGGGAAAGTGTGCAAAGGGACTTTGTCATAATTGTGTGTGTGTCCACAAAAAGAAGATAATGCACTCTTTGCTAAAATTACAGTGATAATCTCTAAATTCGAATGGCAAACTTTTTTCATAATACTTTAAAGATGCCCACAATTCCAACAAGTGATGGAAGGACCACTGAGAAATGTCTTAATTTCACAAGCTATCTCTGAGAAGTACTCTTGCTAGGGAGTGAGGGGAGACTGGCCAGTCAATAAGCACTGGTAGTTATTTTTAAAAAAAAAAAAAA